CTGGATATACAAGTTGGAATTAGTCATTTTACCTACAGTTTGTGAAAAAAAATATGAAAGCGAACCGAAGATTGAAAAGTTATGAGACTTTAAATTTGACCGAATATTGCATGACTTGTTGCGTTTTTTTGCATCTTAGTGTACTAACATAACTAAAATGGCATTCATATCGTACGGATATGTACCATACGCTAAGTGATTGATTCAACGCGTTACCATATGGCAACACAGTTTTTCGTGATGCGAACTCTCAGAGAGACCTCGACAGGAGCATTTTTCGTGAATTCCTTGGTTCACTCCTGGTTGCGAGTAAATTGACGCAAATCTCCCGAATTTCTCACCGCAAGCCTATGTGTGGGAATATCTTGAATAACTCCTAGTTGTGAACAGACCTCGTCAGTAGTTATTGATGCGAATCTCCTGAAGTACTCGCCACAAGGCTATGAGCGCGAATATATCGAATAATTTGGTTCTGCGAATACTTGGAGATTGCAGCAGTGGCAATTGATGCGAATTTCTCGGAACAAGTTTGGTCAAATTGGAACTGAAAAGACACATGCTGTCACATTATTTTACTCTATTGATGAATATCTGAAAACACCCCCACTTCTCGATAATTTGTGTTGATTACATTTCGAAAACAGCAAAATTTATATTTTGTTAGATTTGTTAGATTCATGAAAATGTATGTATGTTTGTGATAGCTTAGGTGTATATTTCATTTTATTCTGTAATTTTTTTTGAAAAATAGTTTGTACTTTCAGTGACTTGCCAAAAACATAAGTATTGTAACTTGGTCAAATAAAATTCTATTCTATTCTATTCTATGCGAATTTCCCAAAGAACTCGCTTTAAGGTATTGTATGTGAATTTCGTGGGATATCGCTTAGACCTCGTTGGGAATATTCCGGCGGCGGACATTTGGAGCAAAAATAGTGCTCTCGGCAACCGCTCAAAGAAGTAATGAAAGGCGTCACAACTTCCTGGAAAGAGGTTACCGAGATATCTTTAAGACCTCTAAGTGTTGGCCGAGATCTCAAACTTCCTGCACAATTCCAAATCATGTCAGTGTAACAAAATAATCCTCCGACTTCTTGTCTCCCACTCTTTGTAATTATGCAAAAAGTTATCGATGTATAACCCGAATATTATGAAGATCTTATACAAGGTATGTCACGACGATCTTACACTATCTCTATATCGAGAATCAGTCGGGAGAAATCCATGAAAATATGCATGCTTATATTTTAGAATACGCCCTCTTCATTTAAAATATTTTCAGCAATGCAGTGTTGCCGCTTCTATCAAAAAGTAGCAACAACTTTGTTATTTCAAATGGAATACCCTGTATTTTATTGCATTTTTATCTCCCTCTGAAGAGCTAATTTCATCGATACATCACACTTTGGGTCTATCGGAAATGATTACAGAGATAAAGGGTGTTCAAAATCGAGATTTTTCAACTTCAGGATTTGTTTGTGTCGAAACTATTTATTATCGGCCAAATCGGCTCGCATGTCCCTATCTCAACTCTTCATTTATTATTTACTGATATTCAACCGGAACAGATACAGGAGGTGATCAGGATTCTGAATCTTGAACCACCCATGTATATGTTCTGATTAAATATCTGTAAATAGTGAATCAAAAGTTGAGATAGGGACATGTGAGCCGTTTTGACCGATAATGAATAGTTTCGACAAAAAAAAATCCTACAGTTCGAAAATCTCGATTTTGAACATCTCTGAAGTCTTTTTCAATAGACCTCAAGTGTGATATATCGATTTAATCAACTATTCAGGGAGAACCTGAAACTGAGATAAAATACAGGGTGTTCCATTCGAAATATCCATGTTGCTACTACTTTCTAGTAGATGCGGCAACACTGCATTGTCGAAAATATTTCAAATGAAGAGAGCGTATTCTAAAATATAAGCATGCACATTATCATGGGTTTATCCCCGACTGATTCTCGATATAAAGATAGTGTCAGCTCGTTGTGACATACCCTGAATATTACACTGAAAATACGATGTTTTGAAGAACATATTTTATTGCTATAAAGATCATATAAATAATAAATTAATATCTAACTTTTGAATAAAATATCAAATAATATATCGATATTATGTTAATTTGATTTATCTACTAAAATGAAATGAAACTGTCATAATACCTAAATATTAGAAAAATCTAACTGTATCTATATATTATATTTACAAAATGTAAAAAATACAAAATACCCTGATACAAATATTTCGAATACTATGCTTATGCCCTAAAATGTATTTTTGATATCCTAAAAAAACTACCTACATAACAAAATTACATAGCACCATTAAAATATGATCTCGAGGTTTTACTTATAAATATAGTCAATGATGTGATCATTAATTATTATAGAGGGGCCAATATACATACGTACCTACTGTACAAAAATCATCTTGATACATTTAAGATTAAAAGTATTGTATATAGATGAAAACTCATCAATTATATTTTTGTTCAACTAACTCACAAATATTAGCTCGATAATGTTAGGTAATGTATGGAAAAGTAGCACATAAAGTTTCTGGAAACTGAAAAATGCGACTGAAAAAAATATTATTTTCTACGGCTATAGCACAAAATTGCCCTTGTTTTACTGTGTTCGATAAATCAATGAGATATACTTTGTATGTCATCAATTTTAGTTCCGTATCTGTCCGTATCTGACAACACAGAAGCTCATCTCCCAGGAAATGTCAAATTTCAAGCAATGACAGCTCTGTCTAATAGATGAATATCACTTATGAGATAATCAGATGGCTACAAGCCGAAGAAATAAAAAGTTCCGCTGTTATCTGATACAGTTGTAGAAAAAGTATAGTGTATAACTCGCATGGAATGCTAATTTCCCACTCGTATCATTTGCAGCCTCGTGGGAAATGACCATCATTCCGTGCTCGTTCAACAATATAGATACCATTTTCACTTCTAGCCCTAGAATACACGATTCGGCCATGAAAATATGTTTCTCATCACTACTAGTCGATTATATATAAAATTTACACTCTAGTACTTACCGGAATAATAGAAACTTGGCAAATATCTATCCTTTGAAATGCTCTGAATTTGATTCTCATGTGAAATGTCACTATAAACTGTCTGTGCTATATTTTGATTGAAATAGAAAATATGTATCTCTCAAACTGGCGCCTGGACGCCATTTCGAAAGATTCTTAGAAATAATCGAGGGTCGAGTGATGCCCCATTTGAAATATCTTTCAATACTCGGGTAATCGACCATATCTCACTTGGTAAGGGTTAGACATTTGGTGCTATTCGTTGGAGTGTCATTTGTCAAATGCATTGTCTTTTGCCAATATCAATTATAATTGGTTCGAAAAAGGAAGGACCCAAGAAGTTTCTCCTGCTCTTAATTCCGTATAGTCATTGATCTGATAGAAATACAATAACTTTGACATTCGACATTTGACACTTTTGTAGCCTACCTCACAATACCAATTGTTTAACTCTTGAGAATATATTCACTTAAAATCCTTTTGGCTTGCAAGTTGGGCAGGTCAGTTCTTGTTAGTTTCGTATAAATGTTATCGTTCCTGAAGATCTAACAATTACAATAGATTTCCAACATGTAGGTAATGCCCGAATCAGGGCCGATCCTAGGGTGTCGGCCGCCCGCGTGCATAAACCTAATGTGCCGCCCCTCTAGAGAATTTTTCATATTTTTTAACTATAATACCTGATGACTCCATAACTTCAACTTCTTGTACAAGGATAAGAAGTAAAACACAGAAAAAAAATGTAGACAAAATCTTCATGCGCCGCAGGCGAATTTTTTCTGAGTTCAAGGTCAAATGCTTTCAGGTAATAACTCCATTTCAGTGCATACCGGGAGCGGCCAAGAAACTCAGACAAAATTTTCCTATGGCAAAAAATGCGCCGCAGGCGAAATTTTTGTTGGGATTCAAATTCATCACATTAGTATATTACAGTTTATTGTAATTGATATAGAATGATCTGGAATCTGAAAATAAGAACAATAAGAAGAGCAAGTGAAAAGTGTTTTAAATGGTGTCTGTAGTTTAACCAAGTGGATGTTCTCCAGATTTTTTGGGATTTTCTCTCATAGTCTCTTAGTAAGTAGTAGAAATGCATAAATAAGCTACCGCACAGTGATGGAACAAAACATCCTTAGGCGTCTGAAAAATGTGCCCCTTGGTTATTATTTCAAATAGAAATTTAAAATTTGGGAAGATAAGAATGTGTATAAAAAGTAGACATTAATTGACAATGGACCAACACACTATTTACTATCATTTTATTTATTCAAAATGCAGCATATTCATTCGACTTATGAGTTTCAAATAATTTTGTTTGATAGGACAATATGCGGCCTGCGGCCGCCCCTTGTTTTGGCCGCCCGCGTGCGGGGCACGCGCTGCACACCCGCTAGGATCGGCCCTGGCCCGAATCATCCTCATATATTATTCAAGATCTCGCTTCGCTCAAATTGACTGCTAATATCCTATATCAGAGAGGTCAAGATCATTTCTGCGCATGTCAGAATTTTATAGTCGAGTAGGCGGGAATTTTGAAATCCTAATAGCTGCAATAATCATTATTAAAAAATGTAAATGCTGAGCTGAGTACCTACTCCATTCAGGACATCAATTATGGGATAACCACAGTGTGTAATAACATTTTGAAATTTCTGCACCGTTTCACTCACAAAGCAGACTGAATTTTTTCATCACGAGAAGCTATACAGGGTGGACAAAAAAATAATCTATGCTGCATATTTTCAACTTTGATACCCTGTATCTCAAAAGTTAGGACGTTTACGACATACGTGCATATAAAGTTTTATTCTTGCAATGAGTCCAAGAATCGCCCCCTTGAATATTCGCTTGTTGGAATAACACTCTGTATATGAATGAGAGTTGAAAAATGTGTTCATTATCGAGACTCGGTTTCTTGACTCGCATCCCCCTCTTCTAAGACTTAGCGACCAGCTTCGGCGCCGGTATCCTCGACAGGTTGTTTTCCGGCCGGGAGTCCTTGCGAGGGCTCCGGAAAGACACCCTGTCGGAGGTCCTCGCGAACGGTGAACTCGTCGGCTCCTCGTCCTCATGGTTGAGGATGCTGAGGCTGCCATACTTCCGCAGCAGCGCTTGCACCTGCAACGGAACCGTGGATATTTCAGGTTATATGTGTTGATTCACCCCTGTACTGGCTAGAGTCACTGGATGGTATTAGTTTGATAAGAGTTCGGACACAGTAATGACAACGGTTAGGGTTTTTGAATGTTTAGATTTATCAAGTTACACACCTTGCATTGTGACAAGAGCATCATAGTCGTCCCGCGATTTTTCATATATAATACCACAAGTGATAATATTTTGCCGGAAATATTCGGTGATTGTTACGACAGCTTGTTGCCTAGTAATTTCGTGAATGACATTGTTATCAAAACTACGAGCCGTAGGCGAGTAGTTTTGGATCAATGTCATGAGCGAAATTAGAGCAGCAAGCTGGAGTATGTCAATCGACGAATATTTCCAGGAAAAATAGTATCACGAGTTGTATTCGTATGACTATGTCATGATTGAATGAGACAATATATATTATAAGAAATAGGAAACATAATTCAAGTATATTCCAACTCAAACTGCGAAGAAGAACATAGTGATAGTAATGAAATACAGAATTCAATTTTTTAGAAATTAACTACCTACTTATAGCACAAAGTGGAATCAATTTTGATAAACAGTATATTGTTTATTATCTTGGAGATGGTTGCTCTCAAAAGAGTGTATACATTTGCTATCCAATTCGAACAAAATAAATTGAATTTATGTGACATGAAATAATTTAAAAAAAAATTATTGTCGCCGACGGGCTTGAACCACCGACCTTCGCATCACCGCGCCACAACCCTATCAGTTGAGCCACATCACCTGGTAGAATAACTTGAGGGACTGAAGAAGATGACTTTAAAAAGGATTTTGAATTCTAGTATTGTTGTGTCAGACCGTCAACAAATATGCAAACTTATTAAATTACACATGAAACGTCCAGCCAGAATGAAATTGTCTCGCCTTTCGTACAAAATGTCTCACTAACGCGAATTATAAGTAAATAAAATGAAGTAGGTACTTAGGTTATTGTCTCTTGTGTCAGATTTGAATACAAAGCAATCTTGACCAGACACGATGTCAAAATTTTATCGCTGATAAACAAGGTTTGTTGGCCACGTGTGGGTCAATTCGGCTTCTGTATTGGTAGAGCAAGTTCGATAAAATTTAATAAACAAAAAATATCGCTAGAATACAGAAGAAACCGTGAAAATGGTCGATTCTAATTGGTTCTCGAGATCAAGAGTGGAATAGTCATTCAAAAATTCTTTGAATTTGACAATTAATTTTATAAACGTCAGAATTGAAATAAAATTCCATAATTATTATACTTTCGAGATGAAAGCAGCTATGGAAATCACTTGCTGTGTAATAAATTGTGCCAATTCTGAAACAAATAGATATCATTTATTCGATTTTCCAAATCAAATATCAAGCATTCGCTTATGGAAGGAGGATATGGAACGGCCTGGGTGGAAAATCAATTTTTCTACAAGCGTGCGTGATTCACCCTATACCCGCACGCAATTTAGTTTGGGAAGTGTCATTTTCCCGCAACAGTACGGGAAAATTTTCCCACACTAGTGCGGGAAATTTTTTCCCGCACTAGTTCGGGAAAACAAAGATATGATATAATCGCTAGTAATATAAGTGGTTGGTGATGGAATATAAAAGTTTAAGATTGTTTGTTGCAGTATTAAGTATGTATGTTTAGAATCATCCATCAAATTGCACTATTTATTGTAAAAATTAAGAAATATTGAGAAATAAATATTGATTATTATAAAAATCCCCCAATAGATTTGGATTGATCTGTTGCCCGAACTCCGCTTCGCGTCGTTCGTGTCAACGGCAGTCACGTGCGGGAAAGAATCACTTTCCGCACTTGTTAGGAAAATTACTATTGAAGACGAGCAGAATTTGTGAGGTATCTGATTAGGATGAATCTATATTTTAGGCCCATTTTCAAACAGAAGATTTCACAATCTGTTTGAGAGAATCTGCTGTTCCATCAATTTACAAAGCAAACGATTTCAATAACAAAATTCCATTATTATCATCACACAAAATACAAAACAAAATAATCATGGAAAAAGGGGGAATGATCGCAAAATTACATTATGAAATTGAAAATTTGAAAACGAAACTCAGAAAAGCAAGTAAACTACAACGTGATATATTATTGAATGGCGTTTTTGGTGCTGACCGCAAATTGAAAATTCAATGAATCAAGGGAATTATTATAAGGGCCTTAACTACGCTGGAGGTTATCGTTTTGGAGATATTTTCTATATCGATCCATGTTACTTAGCTCCTAGGGCGCTAAGTGAAGTTGCTGAGAACTTGACAAAACCAAGTATTTGGTAGGTCTCGTCAAAATAAATTATTTTTCCCATGACATCTTTATCGGAAAATGATTTGTTCTCTGTATTTCAACACCCTGTATCTCCGAAATGAAGCATTTCCAGACACAAGCTTATATAGACTTTATTTCTTAAAATTGTCTCAGGAATACTTCACTGGAGTACAGTTTCACATACAATAAGGAATTATAGTCATAAGTTTATCCATATGTATATATTTTCTGATATTAAAATGTTGTCACATGCATTTTTTTCATTTATATAAATCTTGCTCTGCTAGAAGTGTATCACTATGAATTGAAGTGAGTGTTTGTACCCTATATCCATTGTCTCTACGGCTATGATTGATTTGACAGAAAATATATCCTCTTAAATCGTATCTGACAATCAGGCGCTACTAGGGAAATTGAAAAGACAAAGAGCAGAATATATGTCTTATTCTTTTATTCACTTAAACCATTGTATTATAGAAAATAGAAAAGGACAAAAGTTCAGCTGTGTCCGAACTCTTATCAAACTAATACCATGCAGTGACTCTGGTACTGGCTGTCCCATTTTCGATGCCCTTACGGGATATCTCGCTTATTTTCAGAGATAGAGATTTGCGGTTTTCGCGAACGTTGGCTACTTTTTTGTGAAACTCACGATGCCGCAAACAAAATTCTCATAACTTGCTTCGTTCTTGAGATACAGGGGAAATTGAGAATGTTGCATTTTGGGACACCCACTGTATCTCAATCATCTTTCAACTTATCGAGAAAATGACAACTGCTTTTCACACATTTTTTCACGTAGAATTCAGTGGCGTAGTCAATAATTATGCAGAGATGCAAAATAATGTTTTTTTTTAAATTAAACTGGTTGAGTGGAAGAGCAAATTCCTGTCTTCACAGGTAATTTGAATTCTGCCATTTGGCAGGCATTTATTAAGTGTTCAACTTGTATATATCAGCTGATTCAATGTCTGTCCAAGAAAAACATTGATTATTATTATTATTATTACTATAAACATAAATTTAAGTTAACATTTCGGAATTCTACGACTCCTCAAGCAAATAAAAACAATTCGAGAAGAGTCCAAATCCCGTTCAATCCCAAGTATACGAAAGGATTTAGTCTTTGAAAGCGTTCATCAGTCTGGGTGAGAATTAGGCAATTAATCAGATAATCCAAAAGATGAGGTGGTCACACTTGAAAAATCAGCAATATACGAAACTAGATGTGATGATTGGGATAAAACTGTATATAGGCCAAACCAGGCGACCCATGAAAACAAGGTTCTAAGAACACGTAGCACATTCGGAATATGGTAGGATAGATAAACCGTGTGTAGCCGAACACATGTTCAATCACAATCATAACACACATATTAATAACCTCAAATTAGTTGAGCAAGTTGATAATGTTTAGCTTAGCTTAGAGATATTTGGGAATAGTAATAGAGGAATGAATGAGGATGATCCTTCTCATATAGCCCTCTGTATAGTTTAGTGATATTAGACCAAGGTTAACATGTGAACTAAACCATGACTAACATTAACTTGGCGGTTAGTGTCTTTCACGGTTGGGTGGACATATACCTAGTATATACGGAGCACACTATGATAGAACATATAGTTTCAATCTCCTCCTGAAGATGCTAACATAGTTAGCGAAACACGTGTCGAGGCGTAAAAAATCGGTTTGGTTAGTGGCGAAACAGTGCGTAGTGTACAATCGTGCCAAAGGTTCCAGTCTTCGATATATTGGTATCATGTAGGAAATAAAACAGAAGATGGCCAAAAATCAATTATTTAAATCAAATGAAGAATACATGAATGGTGATTTCCCCAAGAAGAAGCCATCAACAACTTACAAACCGAGTTACTTGATGAAGATTTTTATAACCCTTATCTCGCTTCCTGGGGGGAAGTAGAGGTGTTAATCCTCTCTTCCACCTTAGTACTTCTCCCCCTTGAATGCGCGCCTGGATGATGCCAAATCATCACTTAAAATCCCAGAAACAATTGAGGAGAAAGTGTCATGTAGGTATGTTTATGAAAGAATGCAAAGTTTATCTGGATTGAAGGTATCTACTTACCTATTTATGGTAATACTCAGACATTTCTTCAAAACTGTGTAGATATTAATGAAAGAACATAGGATTGATCTAAATTGAGATTGATGAACCCAACTCTATCGTAAGTTGTCCTAAATAATTGTAGATTTACCACCACCACCTCTAACTTTTTAAAAATGAAATCAGAAAGGAGAAGTGATAAGGAATAAAAAAATGGCAATATTTGTATAACTCCAGTGATCTGGAAGGGGCAGTGGTAAAAGCATTATGAAAACAATATGAATTGATGAAACTTGTGTGCTTTTTTTGCTTTTTATAAATGTTGATCAACGGCTCATCAGCAAAAATATTTCATATTGATGTTTTGATTTTTGGAAATATGGAATTCGAAACGACCAATTAAGAATGGATCCCTATGAAAAATGTTTGTTGATCACCATCACTTCAAAATTTAACGTTTTTTCCACGCCATCTATTGGTTCGTGATTTTCTCGAATTATACATGAAACTCAAACTCAATATTCTCTGAAACCCATAATAATCGTCAAATGTATCAAATCTCGAACATCGTTTATCTTTAGCTACTTCTCAGAGCCTCGATAACAGTTTGACCTGCGCACAACAAGAATCCCTGAGCCGAGGCAAGTTTCATTACATTACATTACATTACCTGCAGCGCTATCGCTTCGTCATCATCGTCGGCTTGCTTGACAGTCTGCAGCAGCTCCTGCTTCAGTTTGCTCTTGGTAGGAGAGGTGTTGGTGGAGGAGGAACGTCTGTCGTTGATAGCCGAAACGCTTCTTCTGCCTGGAAAATATCAGAAATGATTCAATTTGGTTTTTGGAGATGTAGTAGGAGATGGGTATCGCAGTAGTAGACCTATAACGGTAAGAGTTCATTTTGCACGTTACTTCATGTTTATTCACGTTTCACGATGACACAACACCGGAAGAAGCATCCAAAATACGAGAGGTATATTTTCGTCCAGAACCGTCTCAGTCATACTACTTAGAAATTAACACGAAATATCAAAAGTTATAAAGGTCACACGACAAACGTTTGCACTAGAACCCCCGGTTGCATGTAAACAACAAGGTATCAAAGGTAAAGACATGTCTTTTCCGACTTCTTCAATGATCCTTCTTCAAAAATCTGGGCCTATATTAGAGTATTAGACCAGCCTAATGCAAGATAACTGATGATGGACAATACATGTACCCAGCATGTTCAGGTCGAGAACCCTTCCAGTTATACTACTAAATGAATTTAGATTTAGATTTATTTTTACCAATATTTACCAATATTTACAGACACTTACAATCAATCAATTACAATCAATCAATTACAATAATTGCAATATACAAATATACAAATTTCACAAAATATGCAATATACAAATACCCAATCGAGTACAATATACATTCTATTATAACGCACCTAGGTGTTAAAACACCTGTATGTGCCCTAAGATTGTATATTGAGAATATATGAGATGCAATCATGAACATAGTTTAACTTAACTCAACATAAACAACTATGTGACTATAATATTTGTTAAAATTATACCTAATATGAATTGAATATTGAAAGATTCTTCACTGCTTGAGAGGTATTAGAAGATATTTCTGAATGTTTCAAGGTTGGCTACAATGTATGCTTGAATTGACATCTTAGGTGACACAAAAATTAAACATGTAACACAATAAGGCAATCTGCCAGTGCGTCAGCACTGTTTTTTCATGAATCTGCATGGCCTTCAATAGACTCCCACAGTGATCGATAATTGACGAAGGAAAAGTTCCACCCAGCATATTTTGGTTCAGAACCATCCTAGATATACTACTGAATGTAGTAACATTATGGGTTAAGCCTTCCGTGACTTATACAGCAATACACCACCAAGAATCAGTATAGCCTGCATTGAATCATCCTACTGAGGGACAACTGATGATGGATAAATGTAACATAGCAGATTCAGGTTCAGAACCCTCTCAGTTATACTACTAAATCAATAAAATACCATCGTAGGTATGCTCCCAACAAAGTCACTTGAGACAGCTTGATCGGAAATGATCGACCGCGAATTTTTGTCAAGTGACTTTGTGAAGACTATAATGCAGATAAAAACAGAGGTGATACAGGTGACAATTGGGTCTTGTTCCACTTCATGATCTATGTTTCTTCAAGAATATGTATGACCTTCACTAGACTCTCCTAACAACACGAGTATGTCCCAGGGCCGTCCTTTATTTTCTACGAGGACGTCTCTGGGATATCCGGTGTCGGGACATGTTACATACTAGGGACGTCCCAGGGACATCCGCTTTCCACAAAAAGAGGCATCCTAGGGATGTCCTTCTGGTACGTCCCTGGGATGTACCAAGTACGAAAAAATGATATCCCTAGGACGTCCCAAGGATATCCCAGGGACATCCCTTCGACAAAAAAAAATCAGGTCGAGTACGGATTGAACCCAGGACCTTTGGCTTATCAGACACGCATCTTATTACTCCATTGGCTATTGAGCCTCCTGAAGATTTATGTACTAAACAGATTTATAAACAGGACTTAACTACAGAAACCTGAATTAATACCAACTTTGTTAGGATTTAGGTATAATTATTATATCATTGTAACGAAGTTACTAAAATTTGGATTTTGTATCGAATGATATGCTATAATATTATTTTGGGTAAATAGCGAGCTAGCAATGCCGTTCTTTTTCGTATGGAATTCAAATAATATCGCGAACGTGCTTTTGTTTTAACTCAAGAGTCAGGACTTTTGTTAAATAACTTTATGCATCAACGCTTGAATAATGAGTGCAGCGCGGTATCCAAAATGCAGCGATGTCGCTGCCCCGAGTCAGTCACGCGATGACTGAACGTGTACCCCACGATTGGTGTGAGTGGGGATCTGGATATACAGTCGCGTTCAGCCGGAGACAACGGCAGTTGTTGATAGCCGCAACAACTATCCAGTCCTGCCAGAGCCAGCAAGAGCCGAGCCGATTACACCGACGCCGTTCTGTAGTATCAATAGGTGAGCCGACTTATAGTGATACTAAACCTGTTTCTGTTGCAGTCACGCCGAGAGTATTGAGTTCGTCCCGACTGGTAGGCTAGCCTGAACGGAACAAAGGAATAGGCTGTGATTCCGGGTTCGGGATAGCGTAGTAGTAGGGAGGAACACGGGTAGTTCCAGGAAAGGGTACTGGGACTCTATCCAGGAAAAGAGGGCTCTGCTCAATTTTCTGGAGGGAGGTCCAGAAGGTGATACCCTCCGAAAGGGAAGTAAGGAATCTTCATCCAGGAAAAGAGGGTTCTGCTCAATTTTCGGGAGGAAGATTCTGGAGGTGGCTTCCTTATAAGCGCGGGGTTTTCTCGGTTCAGTAGGGAGCCATCATACAACCCATGAAGTTGAAGTTGATTTAATTGCACGTTTTGCGCTGGTTTTAAGGTCTGCTTTGCCTGAATTCGTGTATAACGCTTGTGCTTTTACTTTGCAAACTAATATCGCCTGATACGTTTCGTGCTTCCTAGCTAATGATTTGTACAACCGGGTGATCATCAAGCTTGATTTTACTTTAAACTCTGGCAGTCATTACACTTTTGCATCCGGTGATTACTTTTGCCTCCGGATTTCATTACACTTTTGCATCCGGTGATTACTTTTGCCTCCGGATTTCATTTCACTTTTGCATCCGGTGATTACTTTTGCCTCCGGATTTCATTTCATTTTTGCATCCGGTGATTACTTTTGCCTCCGGATTTCATTTCACTTTTGCATCCGGTGATAACTCCACTTTTGCGGCCGGTTATAACATTAGTTTTGCCTCCGGATTTAATTTCACTTTTGCATCCGCTGATCATTTCACTTTTAATCATTCTGCTTTTGCTTCCGGCTTTCCATGCGTGCTCGCTATTATGAGGGGATGAGTATAAGATTGTAAATAATTTGTAAATAATTTAGTCATACATATGGATATAGATTATTAGATGAAAAAGTAGGTAAGTCTTACTTCGCTTTGTAGATGATAGATTCTTAGTAGAACAATAGATGTATAATAATTATTGGTAGTATTATTCATTCACTGAGTGCAACCAGTCCTACAGGGAACAAGATCTAGTTCAATAAATACTCATGTCACTTTGACACTTCAACAGTTTGGACCCCTGGAATAAACTTTCTTCACTGATAGTTGCCCGGTGCAAGTGGACCTACCACTATAAAATAGGTGGCGCCCGAGAAACAAAAGAATTGTAAATAACTACTATAGAACCCGGACCGCAACGCCAAAAAGGGTAGAAAGCCATTAGGGGCATTATGCATGTACGATTTCTATTTGCGAAAAATGGTAATTTCTCGAGAAGTTCTGAAACTTTATTCTTCATATTCATTACGATTATTTTCCGGAAGAAGAACAAACATTTTCAAAAAAATGCAACTTGATACTTTGATGAAATTCAATGACTCTGATGTGAATGGATATCAGATATTCCAGGGACACGAATAGGATAACCTAGGGATGTACCGGGCGGGATGTCCACTGGACAACCACTGCGCGACATCCCCTGGATGCCCCAATCATACCTAGGACATCCCTGTGTTGTTAGGGTCTTATTGTATGGTAATTGATGAAGGAGAACTTCCACTCAGCATACTCTGATCCTCAGCAATACTCTGCAAGATTTCCTTGATCCCTTCTTGCGCGGTATAACTAATGATGGACAAGTGCCATAGAACATAATCAATGTGTTGCAGAACTCTGCCATGGCATATTACTTGTTGAATTTACATTTAACGATATATGATCCGTGTAGTTGGAAATGATGTTGACCATGGTGGAAATATATATCTTGAATTCGTCTTTCCTGCGAAATGCGTCATTGCGAGTCTATACTCACACCAAAATAATCACGGCGACTCGGGCGAATTGATAACTGTGTGCTCAGACTACGAGCAATTGTTTTACTCACAGTGACGTATACGAAGATGCGCCGTAGCACACCATACTAATTCCATCATGATGTTGACCATCTTATTGTTATTTGGAAAATGGTATCGTTAACAGAAATCACAACTAAATTTTATATCCATTTATTTCTGCTATATATCGGGATTTCCATACCTGTTGAATTCCTGGCAAAAGGAGAAACGAACGTTTCCATCGTCACGCTAGGTCGCGAGCTTTTAGGCCGTCCACTCCAAGTGCTGATCTTAGATTCGGGCTTCTTCAGTTGCGAAGCGGCCTTTCTAGGACTCTTCTGTACTTCCGGTGCCCTTTCCGCGCTGCTCGTCCTGCTGGAGGATTTCCTTTGGACTTCCGGTTTCGAACTCAGGAAAGAGCGTTCGCGAGTTTTAGCGGCCACCGACATTATTTCTTCTTGTCGAGGTATCTCCGGCGATCTGGAGGGAGATTCGGACAGCTTCTCCATGGACTGGAGGGTTTTCTCCAGTTTCGCCTTGATGTTCGCTTCGTTGTCGTAGATTCTCTGAGAGAACTGGGTTTTTCTGAGGCCGAAATCGTTCAATTCGTCTTCTGTGTACATGAGATGCTCTGGAATAACAACAACAACTATACTATTCCAATGGGCCTGTTTTAGTTAATAGTACATTATACATCAAGGGACAGAAATGCAAGATTTTTTCCAAGGTGCGATTTGTAGCTCGAGGGCGAAGCCCGAGAAATACAAAGCACCGAGAGAAAAATAGCATTCTGTCTCCTGAGGTGTATATACCGGGTGTCAACGAATCTATTAGACAAGTCATAACTTCTAGACCATTATAGGTGATTCAAAATGAAATTTGGTAAATGTTAATGGTATGTGAAGAAGAGAGTTTTTACATATTTTTCACTTCCCGGTCACTTCCGGTTTCACCGGCTCCGGTTATAATTTTTTTAATGGAACACCCTGGTATATTGTAATATTTTTGGATTTCTGAGACAATTCTAGATTAGAATGTGACATTTTCGAAAGTTTTTATGCCTACTTGATTCTTTCGGAGTCACTTTTGAAATTACATCTAGGTGGCCATGATCGGAAGTAAACTAATCTAAGGACCTCAGGTGATATCAGAAAACTACAATCGCGAAGTTTTAGTGACAAGTATGATAGATATGCATAAGACAAGTTGGCCAAATTACATTTTCGTGTCTAATTATTATTTTTCAAATGGCGACCATTTTTTGACAAGCACTTTCCGAAAAAAGGATATTTTGACGAATCTAACGATACTAGTTTATTTGCGATTAGATTACAAATAAGAACATGAATTAAATATTACTGACGAAAATACTTCATAATAATTTATTTACTTTTGTCACGTGTGCCATGGATGATAATTCATTTACTTGTAAGCACTTCCCGAAAAAAGGATATTTTGACGAATCAAACGATACTAATTTATTCGAGATTGGATCAACAAATTCAACAAAATTAACAATAACTTCAGCGATGCACTTACTTTTTTTTTTTCAATTTCCTAATTTCTCAAGATTTTCACTAAAATAGTAAATTTTCAAAGTGCATTCCTCCTTGTTCAAGACACTTATTCAATATTTAATCTAAGTTCTTATTTGTAATCCAATCGCAAATAAATTAGTATCGTTAGATTCGTCAAAATATCCTTCTTTTGCCAACTTGTCTTATTCATATCTATCATACTTGTCACTAAAACTTGGCGATTGTAGTTTTCTGAAATCACCTGAGGTCCTTAGAGTTTACTTCCGATCATGTCCACCTAGATGTAATTTCAAAAGTTACTCCGAAAAGATTAAGTAGGCATAAAAACTTTCGAAAATGTCACATTATGATCAAGAATTGTCTCAGAAATTCAAAAATGTTACAATAAACAGGGTGTTCCATTTAAAAATTTAGAACCGGAGCCATTTCCGGTGAAACCGGAAGTGACCCGGAAGTGAAAAATATGTAAAAACTCTCCTCTTCACATATGGTACAGGAAGCTTAGAAATTCAGCTTGAATATCAGGAACTCAGGAAGGAAATAAAGTTTCAAACTAAAAGGGAATATCAAATGTACCAAGAAACAATTGAAAATAATGCTAATTTTGATCCTAACAGCTTTTGGATGTTTATTAAATCGAAAAGTGTCTCAAAAGGTATACCATGTGAAATGCACTATAATGATAAAGTACTTACTGAACCAAAAGACATAGCTAATGCATTCGCACAATATTTTGAGTCAGTATATGAAAGTCCATCGCCTAATAACAATATTAATATACACCTAGGAGAGGGCGATTTCTCAGTAATAACTGAAGAAATGATTAGGAAGGCAATTAAAAAACTAAAACCAAAAAAAGCCACTGGAAAAGACAATATTCCTGCTTATATTTTCAAGGGATGTGCCGATTTCTTTATTAAACCATTGATTTTTATTTTTAACTTGGCACTCAAAGAAGGTATTTTCCCAGACAAATTGAAAGAGTCTGTTATCACACACCAGTGTTCAAAAGTAAAGGCAAAAAGGAGGTTGAAAACTACAGGCCGATTAGTATTTTGAATTCATTAGCCGAACTTCTTGAATCTATTTTAAATGATGACATATTAAACAATTTCAAAAATGTCATTGTAAGTCAACAGCATGCGGTTTCATGGCCGATAGGTCCACAGTAACAAATCTATGTGTTCTTACAAATACTGCAGAGGACACAGTGAATGCAAAAGCCCAATTAGATGTAATCATAGTAGACTGTGGTGCGAAGGCTTTCGATAAAGTTGACCACAGTATTCTTCTGAAAAAGCTTGGTGAATTGAATTTCTCAGGCAAAGCGTTGAAGTTTATAGAATCTTACTCAACTTCCCGATATCAAGAAGTAAAAATTGTACAGTGTTTTTCTGTACCTTTCTTAGCAACCTCCAGTGTGCCACAGAGGGCAGCAATTTGGGACCATTACTTTTTACCTTCTTTATAAATAATTTGTCCAAATGTATTGAACATTCCCCAAGTTTATTGTTTGCGGATGATTTCAAGATCTTCAGGCCAATTACTACATCGACGGACTGCCTTTTTTTGCAGAAGGATATCAACTCAATGTCTGCATGGTTGGATGAAAATAAAATGAATCTCAACATTAACAAATGCGAAGTCATAACTTTCACTCGAAAGCATGAATTCATTAGAAATATTTAAATATTATAAAGAGCGCTGAACTTCCTAGGAAAAATGAGTGTAAGGATCTGGGAGTTTATTTGCAATCTAACCTAAAATATAACACCCACTTGAACTACATTGTGAACAAAGCTTATAAAATCCTTGGTTTTGTTATTAGAAATACAAAATTCTTTAAAAATGTTAGCTCTATTATCAAACTTTACAATGCATTAGTGAGACCGCATCTTGGATATGCTTCAATAATATGGGCTCCCAAACCTGAAGTGAATATAAACCTTGTTGAAAAAGTCCAAAAAAGGTTCCCGCGATATTTGTATTTCATATGGTTACCCTAGAACAGAGACGTACATTCCATGCTGTGGTATTTATTTACTATATAATCAATAGTATAAAATACAAAAATTCATTTGTAGTCAACTTTATAAAAACACTAGTGCCTAAAGTAAATTTAAGAATAAATAAGAATTTTTTTATACAAATCTACTAGATTGTTCTCCAATGAATGAAATGCTACGACAATGTAATATACTTGCCGAAAGCAGAAAGGTGCAATATTGATTTTCTCAACTGTAATTCAAAAGAAATAAAATCAGCAGTATTCAATAATGAATGTATTTTATAGTACCTGCGTAGTTTTTTTAGTTTTTAAGTTTAGTTTTCTAAGTTAGCTCTAAGTCTTTGTGTTTTGAAGCACTATCTCTTATATGAAAATACTCCTGGCTGTGTTTGTAAGAGAGAAATCTTAAATAAATAAATAAATACCATTTCCCTATACCAAATCTCATTTTGATACACCTAATGGTCTAGAATGTTATGACTTGTCTAATGGATTCGTTGACACCCGGTATACTATTGTTTACGCTGGCGAAAACACAAAAATTAAAAAAGAATGAAAATTTGGTCAAAGTGTTTTGTTATAATTAGTAGTATAGTATAGTTTGTGGAATTCGTATCTTAACAACATGCATCTTGTTGACAACCCATGGTGAGAGCAAATATCAAACTGAAATTTATGAAAACAGCTTTGAAAATGGTTAACGGTTATGGAACAATAAATTGAGAAAAAAACCCAAGAAACTATTGATACTGATTCTGCAGTGATTCTGAACTTACTACCAGTGAGATCTAGAAATCTGTATGATGCAGCGTATACTCGCTTCAGAGAAGGGTGTTCCGAAGAGGAAGCGTAGAGCTATGTGGAAAATGTAAAGTTGGTATAAATAATACGAGACTTCTGCCCCTCTTTTGTTACCAGAGAAACTAACTTCTACTCCCGTCGGCGTGAAAAAAATGTATTTTATTATTTTGATGTATCATCCGTAACTAGTTCACTGTCGGAAACTGTTTTTTCCTCAGAGCTCTGTATATTTTTCAAATAATTATTGAAATTCACGATATTTCATTACATGGAAAACGCGTGACGAAATCGATTCGACTTACGTAGCCATTCTCTATTTCTCATTGTCATTTTCCTCAAAAAAAGAAATTAATTTCCTGGACTAAACTCACTGCAGATGACAGAGAACACAACAAACAACTGATGATATAGGTTTTAAAGATGAAGAGGTGACAGACGAGGATAACGTTAAAAGTTTGGTTAGATTCCTCTAGTCTTATTAATATTTTCAATAAACTCTAAGCATGATGCTGTTGCCAGGGTCAAGAAATAGTTTGGGTTTCAATGAAATCTCGATCATTATCAGGAATATCCTTATTGGCACTGAAGCATTTTGCTCAATAAGTGAATATGAATTGTTGTCATTGGTCATATTGAATCTCATAAGGTGATCACTATAGTTATAGATTTGGCAGCGTAGAAATATGTGGTTATCCTCGCATTGGTTGTTGACATACAAAGAGGAATATATCAACAAATATCACTCTTATTGCCAGTTGCCACGTGACGTCATCGAGAGTTGGCGTTTTTCGCAGGTGCCGATTTTATATATTGAAACAAAGTTTTTGTGAAGATATAGAAAAAGAATATTCTCAGATTTATAATGAACATGAAAAAAAAGGTTATACTTATAAAGAAATACATTGAAAATTCGCATTATATATCTGATGATTTTAAATAACGAATGATTGCATCAAATTATTTCAAACCAGGCCGATTGATCGACGGAATTCCCGTTATCTCAATTGGCAGAGCATTGGGCAAGTAACCCAAAGGTTGTGAGTTCGACTCTCACACGGGCGGTGGAGTTTTTTCATTTTCCATTGTCACTCGAAATTATGACTGACTCCTATCAAATTAATATTTACCATCGGGCTGATTAATATTGAATAGGTATGTGGCGTTAATTCGACTAGTGTGTACAATTCCTTCACGTAGGATATGAAAAATTCCCAGCTTATTACAGTAGTTATTAGATAGATCTGTGAACATTGGTAGAGAGGTGGGTTCCCTAACAAAAAGTTATTCCATATTCATTTTCCGCTCGACAGGACTATCTTATGAATGGGCTCTTTCTTCATTCTTTGGAATCAGCGCTTATCAGTGAACTTGGCCAAACTAACTATAAATGAAATCAATGTGAAATTTTCAGTCTCCACTCACCATTTTCTTCAGCATCTTCTGCAGAATTTTGACTGTAAAATGAAGATCTTTGCCTACTTTTATCTTGTATTATTCCAAGGCTTCTGTAGCCTTCGTCGGACATTTCTGAAGTCGTATCACTGTGCTGGTCAGTATCGTTCACCTGTAGACTGATTTCCGATTTCAAAACCTAGAAAATAAATCACAGTATTGATGAAGCTATCATTATCAACCTGATCATGTCTAGTTTTGATCAAATAAAAAAGGAATGTTGATCTGAAGTGAATACTTAAAAAAGTGCACTTATGCCATGTACCGGATGGGGCAAAAGAATGTGTACCTAGGTACATCGATTTAGATTTTTTTTTTTTTTTATCGCTTGGAGCGCACGAAAGGGAATCCCTATAATGTTCAAAGAACATCGTGCGTTCCTTGGGAGGATAGGGGCAGGAGGTAGGTATTGGAATTTTTTTTGAACTTTTGGAGATTATATGTTGTTGGGAATACTTCCACAGGCAATGAATTCCAGAGCCTAGCCGTTCTATGGATGAAGGAGTCTTGATAAAGTGCTGTTCGACATCTTTCGAGGTTGACAACGAAAGGATGTGCTGACTGGGCTTGTCTAGTTCGTCTGATTGGTATTGCTAGTGAAGGGATGATAGCAGAGATTTCCGAAGAACATTTCCCGTGGAAGTATCGATAGAAAAGTGAAAGGTCTCCGACCTTTCTACGATGTTCCAATGATGTCAAAGAGTGAGTGAGTGTGGCGTCACCCACCAGGCGAATGGCTCTTCTCTGGATGGAATCTAAGAGCATCAGTGTATGTTTTGGTGCTGAACCCCATATGTGGGAACAGTATTCTAGAACAGGCCGTATCTGCGCTTTGTAGATCATGAGAAGCTGTTGAGGTGTAAAGTAGCTTTTCGCACGGAACAAGAATCCGAGTTTTTGTGAAGCAGCTTTTGCGATGGATCTGACATGATTATCCCATGAAAGAGTGTTGCTGATGGAAATACCGAGCATAGATATGGTGGGCTTGGTGGGGATGGTGGAGCCAGACATTACAATATCGGGCATACTGAGTTCCGCCTTTCTAGAGAAAATGCAGGCTTGAGTTTTGGTGGCGTTGAATTCAACTAGGTTGTTTGTTCCCCAGGTTGTGATTTCAGCAAGATCTTCATTGACAGCATTGACCAGCCTGCGCCGTGAGTTCTTAGTTTCCTGGGAAGAAATGGGAATTCTAGAAGAGAACGCAGTATGGAGGGTACTATCATCTGCAAAGCTGTGGATGGGGCAAGTTGTTACTCCCAACAGATCATTGATATGAAGCAGGAATAATGTTGGTGCCAAAATTGATCCTTGTGGAACGCCGGAATTGATGTCAAAGGTATCAGACGATACACCGTCCACCACCACGTGAAGCGATCTGCCTGAAAGAAAACTCGATAAGAGATGGCATAGCTGAGGTGGTAAGCCGTATGATGGTAGTTTGTGGAGGAGTCCTTCGTGCCAAACACGGTCGAATGCTTTCGAAATGTCCAACGCGACAGCTAGAGATTCCCCGTGTTTCTCTATTGAAGATTGCCATAAATGGGTGACGTAGGCAAGTAGATCTCCAGTAGATCTTCGGTGGCGAAAGCCGTATTGTCTATCATTGATGATTCCTGAGCTCTCCAGATATTTGATAAGCTCAATATTGATGGCTTTCTCCATCACTTTGGAGATTACTGATAACAGGGCAATGGGCCTGTAGTTGTTGGGCAGGTTCTTGTTCCCTTTTTTGGGGATTGGTTGGACTCTAGCTGTCTTCCAGCATGATGGAAAAATACCCGACCTGTACGAGATGGTAAACAACTTGCAGAGAATCGGTGTTAATTCTGGTGCACATTTTTTGAGGATAATGGGTGGAATTCCATCAGGACCGTTAGCCTTATTTGTTTTGAGACCAAGCAAAATTCGTCTGATAGTGCGTTGACGGAAGACGATTTCGGGCATTCGACTCTCAACGGGTGGAATGTCTGGCGGCAGTTTTCCTTGGGAATCTAAAGTAGAGTTTGCTGCGAACATCTCTGCAAAAATATTTGCTTTCTCCTGCGATGTTGTTGCTAATGTGCCGTCGGATTTGGACAGTGGTGGAAATGAACTATTAGTGAAATTTCTTCCGACCGCTTTAGCAAGGGACCAAAACGAACGGGAGCCATTGGGGCAATCTATGAGTTTCGATCTTATCTTGGCATTGTATGTTTCTTTCGAAGCATCTATTGTTTGGCTGCAGTTATTCCTGGCATCAACGTATTCTGCTCTAGTCGCGAGGTTAGGGTTTTTGCGCCAGCGATGGTAGGCTGTTTGTTTCAAGGCAACAGTTCTAGAACAGTTTCTGTTGAACCAGGGTTTCGAAGGTGATGATCTTTTCGAAAAATGAGGTATGTATGTGTCCATTCCGAGCATGATGATCTCGGATATTTCCGCAGCACACTGTGAAGGGTCCTCAGAGTCAAAGCATACTCTATGCCAAGGAAACTCGGAGAAAAACATGCGGAGACCGTCCCAATCTCCTGAATTGTAATGCCATATAAGACGTGGGGGTGCCGGAGCAGTTGATTGAATATTGAATAACTGCACAGCTCACAGTTACGAAGATCACATCGGTTTCCTTCCATCGAAAAGTTATGTTGAAACTATTCTTCAATAAACTTGACGAACATATTCAAGTCGGCTAATTTAATATATTTGCATTCGCTTCCCTCATGACCATCACGTTCTCCATACTTGACTCCTTTGGATTTCTACCATTTGGATATTTGAAAGATAAACCCAGGTAGCACAGGTTAGTGGAATGACGTCATAATGACGTATTCTTTAGGTCATTATTGGTCAATGACGTCTTCGACTTCAGAGGGACCTAAAAATGACGTCATATTACATGACGTCTTATTGACGTTCAATATTGGACGTCTTAATGACGTCCCTACAAAGTCGTATATCCGACCAAATAAAAAAAAATCAGTCGCTTTCTTACTTTTTCATCGTTTGTTAATTGTACGTACTTAATGTGTGTTTGTATATACAGTGTTTTCGTGAGTTCTGATGAACAAATTTATTTTCAGCCAAATTATGCATTTTTGAGGAATCTTCTGAAAACGGTCGATTTTCATTTTCAATTTGCCATATATTCATGAGAAAAATTGAATATACATGCATGGTGATCCACGTTTGAGTTATGACCATAACGACAATTTTTTTAAATAGAGCACCTTATATTATTATATTACTCAATCTTTGCAATAACCATGGGAAGCGGAATTCTAAAATGTTAAACACAATCATGTGGATTATATGCGTCCAATAAATTAGATGCTCTCGCGTGAAGTAGTGGATAAATTCATTATTATCCAATATCTATCTATCTCATATATTTCTGAGAAAACAGGAGAGGCTCTTATTTCTAATTCGACATTTATACGGAGGAATCATCAAATATACAGGATGATACACGTTTGTATTATGACGTACACGACACATTTTTCAAACGGATATATATTATTGAATTTTCGTAATCAAATGTATATCACACAAAGGGTTTGCATCCAGGGCGTTCGTTAAATTCAGTCCTCTCGTAAAATTAGATTACCATTAAAATATAAAGATGACGTAATTTCTCCTACACGAATCATTCTGTATATATTGATTCAATATGAAATGAAGCTTGAATGAAAATAAAATTCTACAACTTCGAGCATTATTCTCTGAAAAAAAAAAATATATTTTTTTAATTTTCAAAAAATTGATTATCAGCAAATTCGCAAAAGAACTCAATCCAACGAACGCACTGTATACAGACTCATATACTCATATATTTTTGAATCCAGCTTCTCATAGAGACTCCAAAAATCGAATAATTTATAGGGTGTTCCTTTGAAAAAATGGTCGCGGACGTTGTAACTCTAACTTGAATCACCCTGTATATTCAATTTTTTCTCAATACTGTAATTTGAAATGAAAATCGACCTATTTTGGGAGATTCCTCAGCAAGGAATTGTATGGTTATAAGTACATTGATTGGCTACTTTATTTACTTCACGCGAGATGACTCAATTTAACGGACACACTGTATACAAACCCTATGTGTAATATATTTTTAAATCCAGATTTCCATGGATATTTCAAAAATTGAATGTATCTTATATAGGTTATTATTGTTTTCAATTGAAAAAATTGCCGAGGACGTCTTAACTTAAACGTGGATCACCCTGTATATATATGATTCTTACTTTCAAATGTGGCAAATCGGAAATGGAATCGACCTGTTGCAGAGGATTTCTCAGAAATGGATAGTTTAGCTAAAAATGAGTTCATTCAGCTTACATCTCGCCGACGCTCGCTACATAATTTTAGGTACAAATACGAGTAGCTAACGATATTGTCATATAGGGATTCATAGGATTCAACAGGACTGCCTGGGAGGACCATCAACCAAGTTACCACAACGTATAGTCACAAAATGAATGTCATCAAAGGTTTGTATGTATTATCATGTACCAATAATACCGTATATATATAAACCTCCTATTTTTTTTTATTTCGTCTTTTATTGGTCATGCTGCGACGTCATTATGACGTCAAAGTATGACGTCATATGGCTGTGACATTTTGACTTCATTATAGGGTCTCTCAGACGTCATTTTTGGACGTCCACTTCGTCATTTTATGACCAAAAAATGACGTCAATTGGACGTCACTCTGCTACCTGGGAAGTATCCAAGAGAGATAGCATGCTGCAGAAAGCTGCAAGCATCAATTACATTTTCGACAAGAAATGGCGAAGAGTTATGAAATTTACTTTATAAAATTCTCAAATTGCTCCAAGAAGAAACGATACCGGGTTTGATATGATTATTTCAAACGATCATGAAGATATTCGCATTCGAAGTTTCCATATGAAAAATGGGTGCGACGGCGCAATATCGATACTTTCTTCTGTCACACTCATTGAGTTTATGGAAACTTTGTGAATGGTAATAACTTCGTAATCGTTCGAAATAATCCTGTCAATCCCGGTATCGTTGAATTCTGAATTCGTTATGGTAATCCCTGACCGTTTATGGAATAAAATACAAGGTGACCAATTTAAAAATCGAAACTTAGGTTCATTTCCGGAAAAGAGTACGCCAAAGCAACTTAATATGTCAAAAAGTGTCAAATGAACTATTATATACATCCCCCATATCTAGTTTTACTAGGTAAAAGGGATCCAAAAAATGTGAATTTTCGAAATCACCCTGTATCTCATAAACGGAAACAGTTATGCTGTATCTGATTGGGCCATTTTTAGGTTCACATGAAAGAAGGGCAGGAACGTGAAAACTGCAAGGGTCTATTTTTAATAAGAGAGAGATAAGAGATACAGGGGGAAATTGAAAAATTGCCGATTTCGTTTTCATTTTCTGATTACTTTATGGTGGGGAATATTGGAAAATTTTGGAATTTTATTCATATAGTTTGATGCGAACAATCCATTGGCATCATTAGAAATTTTATACAGGGTGACATTGAAAAGATACGGCAGTCAATTATATTTTTTCTTATGGAACACCCCATATATTTTGGCACAGTTAGATAGTCCCAGGCGTTCCAATTTCAAATATATATATATAACTCTACCTTTTCCTCTCACGATTTCAGAAATATTCGCAAAAATATATTCAGTGTGTGATGGTTACACTTCCTTATCTTCCGCAATAATCATTGAGGTTGGATTTATAAATTTGCAACTGTGAGAGAGATGCCAAGGATACACTCGAGGACCTAGGGGGAATAACTCCAGTGATAACACTGCTCGCCAGCAGCTATGGAATCACCGACATTGCTGGAAAATGCTATATCAAGAGGAAGAATATCGCTTGAAAATGACAATTTTTATATATTGACCAAAGGAGGATTTCTAAAAAACCATATACCGGGTGCATATAAGCACAACGTACATCTATTTGGCATGCGGCCTGTGTCTACGCTTTCTGATTGGTTGATGCCAAATAACAGTACACATTGCTATACCTGCGCCAAATAGATGTACAATTTGCTGCAGATCTTCTCGCCGCCAAATAGGCAGTACGAATTGCGTTTGATAACTAAAATGGATTAAACTATAAGTATTCATGGGAATATTCGTGTGAAGCAGTCGAATGTGGTCAATCAGTAAGATTCGTTTTTTGTCGAGCTTTGGAAAATGTGTAGGTACCTATTTCATGTTAGTAGGTATATCAATGTCATTGATGTAATTTATATATATATTATTAACATTATTGTTCATTCGATGTTTCAGTTCAATCTTGATAAAGAAAAATAAAATTTTCGAAAGCTCGTCAAAAAACAAAGAAGTCTCTTACTGATTGGTCACATTCGATTGCTTATCAAGAAAATGTATATGTGTATAGTGAATACAGTGTGTTTCATTAATAATTGAAAATATTTGAATAATTTAATTGAACATATTTCGACTATAAAATCTTGAGCTCAAAATATCAAGATTTAACCCAAATCACATTAATAGAATGTGTCTCCTGTCTGAGTAACAGCCAACAGGGTGTTTTATTAGTTTGTATATCCAAAAAAAATTATATTACGTTATTATGTTTTTTTTTGTAAGTGAGTTAATGTTGTGAATCATCTATAGGGTGTGGAAAACTCAGTATAGTATATAGGCAGTGCTTTTTTCAAGAAAGTTTATATTTATATAACTTACCTGTATAATGAATATACGTATCTTTTACAGAAAAAAATATTTTTGCCATCACAGCTCATTCAAAAAGCGAACCAACACAAACAAGAAATCAAAAAATTGCGAATGTAAGGCTAAAATTACAATAGTGGTTAGGAAAACTACAAAAAATACAATCGCAAAGCATCTACATGTTAAGGTGAGGAAAAGACTGAGAATAGAGATGTTATCGGATTATTTTTTATATATTGTTGCTTTGAGTTTTCTGTATATTCTGGCATTTTCACATTCCTCCTGATAAAACGATCTCAAAAAACGATTACAATTGTGTTCTCTATTTATAACGATTAATTTAAGAATTACAGGTACGTCAATATCCTTTGTCCCAAAGTTCTTTGACTACGCTCTTCAATAAAATATGAATGATCAATATAATTCTGAATTGTTTTAATCATCACAATGAATATAGGATTGCCCACATAAACATTGACACCCTAAACTCAAATAATTTGGCAATTGCTCGTTTCAGCGTTACCATTGTATCGGTGGTAACGGTTTCAGATGTTTGTAGTAATCGCCGTGGGACAAAAGATATTGAAGTACCTGGTATAGTTCTTGAATTAATCGTTTTAGGCTACAAGTGTGATAGATTGTTGGAATTGTTTTATCGAGAGGAACATAGTAATTCCAAAATAAACAGGTTGTCCCATTAATAATTTTGAATCTGATGTCACGTGACCGAAAACGTCAAGCTCATTGGATAATATAATATTCAACCCCAAAATTACAATCTTCTATACTACTCTTATGAGTTTCGAGATATTCCCTGTCTTAATTGTCGTGGGACACCCTGTACATTTATGGTTTTAGAACGCACTATATCGATGTGTGAATGTGCTGAGTATTTTCGATTTTGTATTATCATTATTATAATATATCTTTGAAATCCCATGCAGTTATTGCAGTTTCAATTTAATGTCATAAACGTACAAGGCGCTGACGCGACTTCTACAATATGTACTGTTATCTGGCATACACATGCATTTTCAATTCACGCGCAAAACGTACATGACTCTGACGCCACAATGGCAGAACGTACTGTTATTTGGCATCAACCAATCAGAAAGCGTAGATACAGGCCGTTTGCCAAATACATGTACGTTTTGCTTATATGCATACCGGGTGGCTACAGAAGTATTGCCTACGGAATATCTCAGTTATTGTATGAAGTAGGTTTGTGAAATTTGGAGCGTCGATATAATGACATAAGAGCTAGAATTTGAGCATATTGACATGTCGAAGTTAACTTCCGGTCTGACCGGAAGTAACATCAACTTTCTTATTTTAAATGGAAACCCTATTTTTTTTCTTTTCGCTTCATTCAGCATTCAATTCCCTTTCTAATGACATATCACAAGCTGGTATCTAACCAGAAACTAGATCAGGAAAAAATTATTATTGAAATTCACCGAGTAGGCCGTGGAAGCAAAATGAGAGCCAAAAATTGAAAAGTTGGCTATGGAAACCATACGTCACTTGATAACAGTTGCTACTACTGTGATATTTTATTTTCATTCGTCGGCGTTATAAAAAGCCGCCAAAAAAATATTGGAAAAATTGGGAAAAAAACAATACTCTGTAGGTCTATAACTTAAATAGGAACAGATAACTTTTTCTTGCCTGTACTATTCAGCATAACCATTCCTTTCTAATGATATAATAGAAAGTCATTTTTTGAAATGAAATACGCTTCCACGGCCTACTCGGTGAATTTCAATAATAATTTTTTTCTGATATCATTATATTACCAATGGGTAATTTGATCTCATAAATCGTTTGAAGGAATGGAAAAAATGATATAATATACAGGGAAGTGCGAAACTTGTAACCCGTGCTGTAAAAATGTCTCATTTTTTTTTCTCACACTGTATCTTCTTGCTAGTACCAGAGTATGATTTTCCAAACACTTCTTCATGAAAAAGGTACTCTTGCTGGAATTCCGTAAAACGAACCGTTTTCAAGAAAACTGTTATTTTTCTTTTTGATATCCGAAACAATTCACGTCAGGAATTAATAAGTCTGTCAAATTTCGACAATTTTGTTGCGGATATTTTCTCAACAAATCAAGATCACAGGTATCTCAAATAAAGCAAAACTAACTGGAATGCGGCTGCAACATGCGGCTGCGACATGCGACTGCGACATGCGGCTCGTACCGTACCCACCCACCTTGGCATCTATCGGGATCTGCATGCTGCTAACGACGCTCCTCGCCTTGGGCGGGGCGGGCAGCGACTGCGGGCCCGCCCTGCGCTGCGGACTCCCGCCCGTCGACAGCTTGGCGTCCAGGCTGGATGTGTAGTTGGGCGTGGGGCTCCTCGACCGCATCGGGGGCGGGGCTAGGCCTTTGCGCGGGCTGAGGGAGCGGCGGCCGGCCGGCGAGCGGGACCGCGACCTGTTGAGGGCGTTCGTGGGCGGGCCCAGAGAAGCGGGCGCGCCCTGCGCGGTGATGGCGGGGGCGTTGGGCGGGTCGGGGGCGGACGATCTGCGGCAATCAGGGTGGATGAATACCACTAGTTAGCAATACAGTCAATGCATGCAGGGTGGATGGATATCTGAATCAACCGGGTGACACGTTATGAAGTCTAGCGGCTGGCAACACGGATTTCACTTTGCTTTGAGACTTCTGATGCGCTTAACGTTGGCCGCTCCGTGACCGTGTATGAGTATGTTTTGTAGTAGTTTGATTTCAGTATACAGTAGTCGATGGATGAAGTCGAGTAGATTTTTTTCGATGTTTGAAAAATTCAACGACTACTAAGAACTGAGCGTCACGACGCATCGAAAATATGAATCGTTTGGATTGACTTTGGAATTACGCGCCATCAATATTACATGCTTTTTTATTAATCTGTTATTTCAAAATCGTTAACGATTTCACTGATAAGTCAAAACTTGGTATCTCCGTTCATTCATTTATGCACCTGAATTGAATTTCAACTTTCATTAACTATTCGTTAAAAGATGACCAACTTTTATCTCTCAACAACAAATACGAATAGAACTGTGACTTGCGCAGGCGCGATTCTGTCAGAAGTCAGACAAACATTTTCTTCCTCTTCTTTTTCCAAAATTCTTGAAAATTTATGTAGTCGTATGTTCAGATTAGACTTGAAACAATATGAATGAATGATTCGTATTGTAGTTATTATGTGATCACTGAATGTTATAACACAAATATTTTCATCGGGCTAAGTACGCTGAGGATTATGTTTTGATCAAGAAGAAGAGTTTTGAATTAAAAAACGTGGTGCATAAAGGTATCATAGTCCTCAAATAAAAATAAATTTAATTACAGTTAATGAAAGCAACAAATTAATGAAGAAGCGGTGTGCATAAATCCACTTTTATTTTAGCCATTTCTGAGTTTATAGTGAATGTTTCGTGATTGACAAAAATATTACCAAGGATTTTTACGAGAATGTCATGAATATTTTCATTTCTTCGCAATCATTGTTATCGCAATTATTTTACAAGCAATCAACTTGGAAAGATTTTTGCATCGGAGACTTTTCTATGCCGATAACGCTGTGCGTAAAATCTTATTTTTGCTTCCCTACAATTCGCCCTGCATTCTCCAAACAGCATTGGCAAATTGAAACATCATCATATAAACAAAATAACATGTGCTGTTGAGTGCGCGTAATTTCAAAGTCAATGCAATCGATTTATATTTTCGACGCGTCACGACGCTCAGCTCTTAGTAGGCGCTGAATGTTTTGTACTTTGAAAAAAATCTACTTGATTCCATCCATTGACTACTTTTTGCCTTAAGTGTCAGCTCTAACACATAATGTAATTAATTTGTACTCGAGTTGTTTCTTGAGCATTATAAAATTGTTGCTGAAGATGTCAATATCATGGTCACAGATCATGTTAAAAAAGTTCATGCATCTGATAAGGGGAGAGTTACAATAGTAATTTGTCGAATATGGTGGTGGATAGAATGTTAGTCGATTTCGTGAGATACGGGGATTACAATTTAGTGATAGTTATGGCAAGCATAATTCTGAGTCAGTGAGATTGTTTATAAGTTTGAATATAAAAGACAAGTCATAGAATTCGCGTCTCAAGAATAAAGTTTCCAATTTGTAGAAATCAAGGTTCACTTCATGATTAGCATGATGCTTAAGACGAAAAAACGATAATTCAGATTACTAATCAACCTCCTTTGGACAGACTCTAATCGTTTAACATATTGGTCATACACAGGATTCCATATTACAGTATTATACTCGAGGATAGGTCTCACTAAAGTTTTTTACATTGTTGAAATTGAAGTGTGATTTCTGAAGTCGTGAGTACTACATAGGATGAGAGCTAATGTTTACAAGGATTTACTGACTGTACATTCAATGTGACTTTCAAACGTAAGCTCCGATCCAAAATTATGCCAAGGTCTTTTATTTCGTTGACAACTACGATCTGTTGGTTGCTTATGTAAAGGTGTTCATGAGGGGGGTTCAGGATTTTAGAAAATTGAATCTGAGTGCACTTGTTGAGGTTTCGCGAGGCAGTAAGCAAAAAATCTATTTAGGTCATCTATACTGAACAGTAGTGGGCCCAGGTGTGATCCCTGGGGTACACCGGACTCAATGAACCTTTTCTCTGAACTAAAACCATTCAACAGGAGTAAGAGGACATACTTAGATCTCTCGGAAATGTATACAGGTTGCCGTGCACACCGAAATTCTCAAGCTCTACGATCAGAGTAGGGTGATTTACTTCATCGAAGGTCTTGAAAAAATCGGTGTACACGACACACTTTTCCGGAAAATAGTGATACAGTATTTTGATATTGAAAAATTGTACACTTCAGGCACACAAAATATTTTAAAGAAAGTGTAGTTTTGGGCAAAATAATTGAATTAAACAGATTGGTGAAGGTCGACCTTACTTCAGATCTACTACTATACGAAATGAAGTGACCCATACCTGTCATAGTAAACTTGCGACCCATGCAGATCGACTGCTCCCGGTTTGTTAACTAGCTTCGCGCTCTGCGTCGTTCTGTGCTGGCTGCGACATCTGCAGGGGTCGTGTTTGTCCAAATAGTGGGACAAGGTGTCCCAACCACCGCCTACTCGCACCATCACGTGGTTGCGGAGAATCTGTTCACAAAAAAGCTCTGAATGTACTGTATCGTCTATCATTCTGACAACTAATATTATAAAGAGGAAAGATCTGTTTGTGTGTTTGTATTGAATAGGCTCCGAAACTACTAGACCCAAAAATTCTTTTACCATTAGAAGCCGACATTATTCCTGATGAACATTGGCTACTTTTTTATGGCTTTGTGGACATGGTCCCATCAGCCAGACGCATTTTTGTATAATCATAAGTTCATATCTTATAACACAAGATGTCCATTGGACATCCGTTTTGTGTCCATTATATGTCCAAGGTGTCCATGGACACATTCTGGACATCCATAGGATGTCCACGATGTCCACAGGCAGCAATCCTATGGATGTCCAGGAAAAGTAATCCATATAGTGTCCATTTCATGTCCTTTCTGATGATGTTCCTTAACACAACGTCCAACTCATGTCCATAAGATAATGTCCAATGGACATCAATTTGCAGTAGTCCATACGCAGTCCATATGATGTTGCTTTTTCGTCTCGGGTATCATCGAGATCGTTCGGCTCCTTCGCTGGCGACAGCTGTGCACAGGGTTAGCCGGAGCCGTGTGATGTGTGATGCCGTCCGCCATTTTTGTTTTGTTGTTGAACATCGGTGCATGGACAGAACGCCTGAGACTGATGCGTTTTGGTAATATCCATAAAATCCATTCGAATTTTGTGTACTATTCATAATGACATTATTGTTGTAATCTGTTTCATAATATTTGTGTGTGAACGACGAGTGTTTTGTGATCCTATTTCATTCGATCGAAGAACACATGAGTCACTTATTCATTCAAGTGCATGAAGGCCATCATTCCATTGCGGACGTGTTGATGAAGATGTCTAACGATTTCAACATTAGAACTGGTCTGAAATTGAGTGCCTATCTATACATAATATTTAGTGCAAATTAATGTGAACTTGAGAAATTGGTTCAAATCGATTGTATCAACTGTATCAAACTGGAATGATGAAAGGAGTTACCATAAAAGCAATAACATATTACATTAATATTATATTTTATATTATGAAGATTATTTGTAGTGTTCTTGAATATACCTACTCACATTTTCAAGTAATAACCAGAAACATAGATTCTATTTATTGACCAGATCGTCCTATATAAATGTACAATTCATGTACTAGATATCCAATGGATGTACAGTGATAATGTCCTATGGATGTACGGTATGGACATCCATTAGATGTCCGTTTGGGACTTCCTATGGATGTCCAAAAAGGTGGAAAGTGAATGTCCCATGGATGTCCATATGCAGTCCCGTGTACGCATTCTAGTTGTCCAGACGAGTCTGTCCAATAATGAGTGTCCATTGGACTAACTTGTGTTATTAGGGAGGCTACTTTTCACCGCGGGAA